TTTCAAATCGTAGAATTACCTCCTAGTGGAGCCTAAAGCAGTTTTACTTCAATTATATGTTAATAATTTAACAAAACCGTACTTACAATATTTTTATAATATCTTTAACCTTTTACCAGCTCTTCCTCTATTTAAATTAATCAATGTTCCCAAGAAAAAACAATCTGTGTAAAACTCGATATTAATGATTTTCCAATAGCTCATTTTTCCGTGTTTTTTCCTCGTTTCCATTATTAATACATTAATAAATAAATATGTAAAGTTCGTAATCTTTTTATAACACCGACTCAGGGTGGTGTAAGAAAAGTAATTTATTATTTTTTCTTAAAAGATTTTCATACTTTTATATCTTTACTTGCGAAGGGGCAGCAGATGGGAAAAGAATTACGAGTTTGTAATTATGAATATATATATATATATATATATATATATATATATATATTAATATTTTGTAGAGTTTCGAACAAGAATCCAAAAATAATACAAAATAAAAACAAGAAAAGTTTTTAAAAAAACAATCTTTATTTAATTATTTGTTTATTGTCGACGTTTCGGAACTAGGTACGTTCCATCCGAAACGTCGACAATAAACAAATAATTAAATAAAGAAATTGTTTTTTTTAAAAACTTTTCTTGTTTTTATTTTGTATTATTTTTGGATTTTTGTTCGAAACTCTACAAAATATACACAAATCCAAGACTCTACCATTCAATATATTAATATATATATATATATATATATATATATACATATATATACATATATATATATATATATATATATATATATATATATATTATTTACACCTTTATAAATAACTCATATATTTATTTCCTATTCGAGAGTCGAGTTTAATTAAGTTTTCCCTTGTAGAGAATTAATGAGCCGTAATGAATGACTTTTTCGGCAATTTCTTTTCTATCCTATTTAGCTTGGCTTTTTATTAGTTGGATGTTTTTTTTTAACATAGAGTGCCCCCTTGAAACGGTGAAATGGGTGAAATGGGGCTATTGAAGTAATGGACACTTTTATTGCCTCCCTGATGACCGATTTAAAATAAATACATCTGACATGGAAAAAGGATATTTAACAGACTTGAATAAAGATGAGTAGATGTATATATAGTAATATATTAGGGTGGTCCTTGATATGGATATTTTTGATTTTTTTTTTGATCCCAGGAGCACAAATGCCTCCAAATTGATGAACAAGAATTATCTGAAAGTTTTAGCTCTTAATATTAACTTTAAGATAGTCCGAACTCCAACAAAGTTTCTTGGTACTTCTTCCTAAGATAATACTTTTTTATAACATATATCATTTTTTTTTTGTAAATTTTTTATTTATGATCAATAAGCAATTATTCTCAAAACTTTGATTCACTTGTCAGAAATTGTAAAAAACGGAATTTTACCCATGTTACCTCCTTAAGAAACTTTAGTTGGAGTGCGGACTATCTTAAAGTTAATATTAAGAGCTAAAACTTCCAGAGTATTTTGTTTTACCAATTTGGAAGCATTTGAGTCCCTGGGAGCAAGAAATTCGAAAACATCCATATTAAGGACCACCCTAGTATATATGTAATTGTACATTAATATGGCCAAAAGTTTTTCTAAATATTCCATTACAATTACATTTTCATAATTATTATTCTACTATCCTCCTCCAACGTCCCATTTAATTTTAATTCCTTGCAAATGAACACAAAAGTGCTCCTTTATGCAAAGTCCAAAACAAAAAATAACGAATCGAGTTAAATTGTCCGTAAAAATGGCTATAAAAATGTCAATTAGTGGAATCTTAATGATAATTAAAGGAAAAAGAATCAAATGAAAGAGGTCTTGGTTGGTCTCGGTGGTGCTGGTGGTGTTATTAATCCCTAGAAGTTAATTACAAAGGCAATCTTTGTCTTTGTTGGGAGATTGAGGATTTTTTAATTACATGGAAATTTTTTTTGCGACGCTTAAACCGATATCTTAAAATTCAGTAAAGTTAAGAATTTGTTAACAACAATATTTGAAAGTAGAGGGCAAAATATGTATAACAAGCCACCACATTGATTCTTACAACGTTGCTGTCAGAAGATAAACCGCAATGTTTAAAAATCCATAACAAAAGTATTTGCTTTCATTAGTTTTTTGGTCGTGAGCACTGTTGTTTAGTTTACAAGACCTTAATATAATTTTTAAGTATACGTTTATTAATTGCTATATAAGATGTATTGTTAATTTTACGTTAGATTCGACAGTTTTTTAAAATAACCTTTATAAAAACTAACACGTGGGTGGGGTAAAAAGGACCAACTGAACCTTTACCTTGGTGAAGGTGGAAACAATAAAGAATAAATAAATAGTTATTATTTATTAGTTAAATAAATACTTATTATGCTAATGAATATTTCTGACGAAATACTAGATCAAGGTTATATACAGTGTTTTCTTTGTAAAAAATGTACTCATGAAGTTCATATTTGGAATTGGTTAAATAATGTAGCTATTATTTCGTAAAAACCTTTTAAAATTAAAAATAAGACATTGGACCTGTTCACCCCTAGCAATCACATTTTACCACACCCATGGGGCAATAAGGACCAGGTGACAAATTTTTGAAAAACAGCAAAGAAACACATTTCTACAATGATGAATTAGCTAGGAGTTTTACTGAACATAGTCAGATAGTTGTTTGGTTGATATGTGTAGTTTGTTGTGATATAATAGGTTTGGTTTTCACAATACAATTGCTCAAAGTCAAGTTGGACCTTTGTGCCTCGTCCAGGCACATTTTGTAATCTTGAAGGCCATTTGTTAAAATTAAATGAATAATATAAAATTATTTTAAGTATAAACTTATGTATGTTTTTATTAGTAATTATGTTTTTGTGATTTAATAAAATTACTCAATAAAATATAATTATATTACTATTTGTATTCAAAGTAGTTTCTAAAATATAATTCAATGAAAAAATATGAATGAAATTAAAGCAAACATTAACAAAACTTATAAGTTTTTTTGATGCTTCGTATAAAACGCTTTCTCATTCAAAACACGATTTTCCTGGAAAATTGTCTTAACAGAGTTTTTTTACTCTATATCAATCTCCTCTAATTCAGTTTATATTTCATTTACCATTTATCATTTATCATTGCGTGTGAATTTAATTTCTTCTAGTAGAATATGTTTATCTCGTGTTATATTACTAAATGTGGAATGCAATAAGAAAGAATCGAATCGCCATTTGATCTTTTCTGTTTAATTTTCCGCTTTGAAACGATAATGATCGCATATACATCTTATCGACTGTTGCAAACGAACTGAAATTGAACTTAAAATGTTATCAAACACGCACGAATGATAGGAAATCGATATATCTCCTATAGATAGATTTATAAAAAACGTATATTATTTTTTGTTGTGAATGAAAATATGAATCGAAACCGAGAGGGTAATGGACTTTGTAATAAATTACAATAATTGTAATAAAATTTAAAATAAAACTTGAGTCGGTGAATTAATTTTGAAATTGGCGGCTACGAAGCCATCTATGAGCGTTAGGCTGAACTAAATTTAGCCGAGACACCTTCAAACGGTTATGTATAGTTTAAATTTGTTTAAAATTAATTATTTTTGTTGCAAAATTTAATAATTTTAGTATTAGCAAAAATACTCAAATCATTTTTTAAATTTTGAAAATCAATTATTGGAACTAGGTGCGAGTGTCATATTGCCTTAGGGCAAATTTAAGAGTCGATATCTCTATTTTTTTGCAAATTTGTTGAACATATAAATATATATATATATTAAATATGTTAGCAGCCCATTTGCCATGATATAAAAAAGTTAAAAGAAAAACATTATTTATTAACTATACGTTATGACACCTGATGTGTGTTATCATTCAACAAATCAACCAGGACAAAAACAAACACTTAAAAAACTAAAATTAGTTTTAAAAAAGTCAAACTCAAACTCATTGACTATTCTGAACTAATAATTATTATTTCTAACTAATAACTATCTCTTTGGCTAGAAGGCATCATGACCTCTGCTTTATTTTTTTATTTTAAATTTTTAGTTAAGTGTTGATTTTTGTAATAAAAGTTTTTACAGCTAATTTTAATATCTTAAGTTTGTTTTTTTGTCCTGATTGATTTGCTTAATGATGACACACATCAAGTGTCAAAACATATAATTAATAAATAATTTTCCTCTAACTCTTTTTTATTTCAAAAATGGTCAGCTAATTATTTTAATTATATATATATATATATATAATATATATATATATATATATATATATATAAATATATATAATTATATATATATATATATACTTGTCAATCGGATTGCAAATACAACAAATATTACAATCAATTATTAATAATAAATTAGGTAATTAAGGATTATTATCAAAAACATTGTCATATTTAAATTAAGATAAACAAATCAATAACGTTAACGTTTAAAATATTTGATTAAATATTTTATTATTCACTTTTATGACAAAATGCTATTATATAATATATTTATATACATAATTTTTTTTTAATTTTTATAATTGAACTGTTCTTAATTTAAGCAACTAATTATTTTTTTTCGTGTCTATACAAATTCTTTCATGTCTAATAAAATAATTTATTCCTATACTTTCATCATGCAATTATTATAACAAAATATGAATGGATAGATTAAATATCTATTATGATTTTATATCTATTCATATAACGATTATTAATAAAATTATCAATATGCGTGCCATATTTTAATATCTATATAAAAAGTGCAGTCTCCATATATACTTGAATTACATCAAGTTGTAGTATATATTAAAAACGAATAAATATGTCTTGTAAAAATATTCATATATATATTTAACTGGTTTATAGTTGTACTGTTATGTATTAAATTATATCATTTTATCACCATAAATTTATTATTAAATGAGTGAAATTAAGCAGATTGTTTAGTAGGTTAATATCAGCTGTATATTATTTACGTGGACGGAAAACCTTGCTGGTTAGTATAAACTTAAAAATTTAAAGCTTGTAATAGATTTTTTAATGTTTTATGGAATTGACATTCTAATTTTTTATCTAAAATGTTAAAATTTATATATTGCACGCCTTAGTCTTTATCTAGTAAATCAGGGTAAAGCAGAATTTATAATAATTATAGAATCTTTTTCTCGGCTTGTGCAATATATCTATTCGTCTATATTTTCATTTTCCCTAAAAACTAATCACAAACTCTCTTGCCAATCTAGACCTAAAAACTCTCGTCATGACATTTAAAGCTCTAAATAAAATCTCGTTATTATTCTCTATATAGGCATATTTGAAATTTCTAAAAAATTAGTCATAAAATAAAAAAAAACGTCTATATACAATTATTAATTAAAGTAATTGAAAAAATAATTTTATATATGTCGATTAGTAAAAAATGGAGTAAATAAAATTCAAGTCATACTGTTTAAATCAATCTTTTCAATTACTTGTGTCAATGTTAGGCCTCCATCAATTTGTATACCTTTTTGTGACATATCCTTAAGACGCTGTTCAAGAGCAGACTTGTCTCGACCTTTTTGCCACCTAAAGCAGAAAATATATAAAACTTAGCACATATTAAGCTTCAATTTTCACAAAATCCATTATCCTTACCACAGATGAGTGCAGCACTTCAACAATGGTATATACCCCGCCAGCAGGTCAGAATCCGAGACTCCTTCAAACCTCTTCAGTGCCAACTCAGCCCAATACTCCGCATGAGGATGTATTCCACCCTGTCCACCGCCCTGCACTTGTCCATTCCCAGTATTTGCAATACAAGTGCCTTCCACCAGAGACAACAATGCAGCCAGGACAGGCCTGGATCGATCCATGTAAACTTTATTCAACAACCTGAATTGGTTTTCGAGTTGAGCAACTATTGCTGAGTTGTCTATTTTGCCGTGTTGTTTTTGTATGGAGCTTCTGCTGGCTATTCGGAGGTCTGGTGAACCTAGGAGGAATTCTAAGACTGGTTTTGCTTCACGTAAACGAGATTCCATTGTTATTCGATCGAGGAGGGATTCGAAACCGGCGCTGCGGTAGGATATCAGGTCGGCTCCGAAATTTCCAAGCAAAACCTGGATAAAAGATAGGAAAAAATAGAAAAAAAAAATAGATAATTAAATAAATAAGTAATTCAAAATTAATAATGTTTGTTCTGTTTAATGATCAAGAATAGAATAAAATACCCTATAACCACTATAAATCTTTCAATTATTACCTTTTTAGGAAAACTTATAGAATTCAACATATCTGGAAACAGTCTTTTTAAACCAAGATAAAGCGTTCTGAAATGTGTATATCGTCTTTCAATTTCTGCAGGGTGTGGATCTTTAATTTCACTGTCTTGTCTAAAAATGAAATGGACAACAAACATTTTTCCATTTTTCAAATTACGAGTATAATTTATTATTACCTGACACATAGTGTATATAAAACATATCGTTTTGTCTGTTCTGTAGCTGGAATGGATCTGGCAGAAGTTACTTCGAAACATAATACTCTTGAATTGTCATAATTTGGTCGTCGAGGCCTGGGAGCCCTTTTCCATGCTGATAATGAATATATTATAATATATATATATATATATATATATATATATATATATGAAGAAAAAGCAGAATTTTCTATATATACATTTAGGAAGGTTCTGAATCAGAGCTAATATTGAAGAGACTTGCAGGAACAAATACAATACAATAAATTGATAAGCTCGTAATACAATATTAATTAGGAAATACCTCGAAACTTGGAGTAATGTTAACTACCAGAGTTATTTGCATAAATTAGATATAGGTTGTTTGAAAATGTGTATAAATACTACGTGGGATGTAATAAAAATATGTAACCAATGTGGTGATAAAAAATCTTGAAAAAAAAAAAGTTGAATACTATAAAAAATAAACAAGGCCCCAGAAAAAATCTTCAACTTGGGAAAGAATTCTTAGAAAGACTTATATACAATATAAGAATAACCAAATAACTACTTTAGTTATCTTGGAAACAATTGTATAAGTATTAAGCGTTTGAGAGTAGATTTATATTGTGTTTATTCTTTTACTTGACTTTTCTTTGATTTGTGCATTAGTTTACCAATCATTAAACCAAACTAATACATATATATATATATATATATATATATATATATATATATATAAACATATATATATAATCTTGAATGCAAAACATTCATGATAAGGTTTGTGATAAATATGCAAAATAGCTTTCAAATATTATCAGTATAGAAAAAACATGACTTTGAAAATGCTCTTGCATTCTTTATCACTATCAACAATAATTTATTCAAGAAGATAAATAATTTCTAACATTCTAGAATAAAAGATAAAAAATGTAGGTAAAAAGTATATCCAAAATTCCTTTACAAATTTACATTTTTGTTTCAATTTCAAGTTGTAACATTACCTACAATATATATAACAGTAAACATGTAGCATTCTAACAATAGTGAGAAATTTGTGAAAGTAGGCAAATTGAACTTTCATTTCCCTGGTACTGTTATGTTAAAGCCAAAGAGAAAAGATACTTTAATAAACCAATGTTTGGTGTATTATCTATATATATGTAATATGAATTTTTATACCTGTTTCCTTTGGGGCACTTCCAAAAGCCAATGTTCCTTGTTCAAGAGCCTCCTCAGCAGGTGAATCATCGTCTAAAGAATCATGTGATCTTCTTACAACAGCAGACTTCACTAAAATAGTAAAAATATTATACTAAGATTTAATCACAATTAAAAATAATATTGTTTACTTACTTATGTTTTGTGATATAAGTTTTAATTGTAAGTAGTTTGAAATTTCAACCTAACATATTCTGGTTTTGGTGAACACTTTAATAACGTTTCAACACACAATGTTTACGTCAGTTTTATTATTGAAATATAAATATTGTTATTTGAAAGTCTTTGTTTTTATTTACACGTATAATATAGATTGTTTAAGTAATTATTTGTAGTTGTACAAGTGTAAACATTGTTGTTTGACAGCTAAGCAGACATTTTATGAGTCACACAAGGTTGCAGGAGGGCCAGCACACCAAAAAAAAATTAGAATCGTGATTTTGCAATATTTTAATAAATGTGATATATTATACATCAATAATATTATAATATTAATTGAATTACCTAATTAAATCAACAAATTGTGTTATTATTATTTATATAATTCAAAGAGAAATGAAGAAAGTGTTTTAGCTTATTGTAGTGGCGATCCTGCAGATTTTGACATGTCACAAAATCAATTGTTTTCTTTAGCGTCACTTTCATAATGTGAATAAAGGTTTATTTTATTTATATAACTTAACTAAATCGTATTTAGTTAAATCTTTAGTTTCCCTGCTTTCCTTGTTTGTGTTCGTTCTTAATTTATTATTTGACAAGGTAAATATAGTCAGCTAAGTAACTTTCAAAAGGTGTACTTTCTTAAAACCAGAACTAGTTCATATAAGTTTTTTTTTATAATTAGATGAAAATTGCTATAGAAGGATGCGCTCACGGCGAGCTAGAACGTATTTATGACTCTATTGCTTTAATTGAACAACGTGAGGGTGTTAAAGTTGACTTGCTTATTTGTTGTGGCGATTTTCAATCTACTAGGAATTTGGACGACCTAAAATGCATGGCTGTACCCCAAAGTTATCAACACATGTGTACTTTCTATAAGTCAGTAGATCAAAATCGAAATATAACACAGATTTCCCAACAATTAACCCTATAAATATCAAAGCTAAGTATATTTTTCATATTTATAGGTATTACAGTGGTGAAAAAGTAGCACCACTTTTGACTATTTTTGTCGGAGGCAATCATGAAGCATCTAATTATCTTCAAGAGCTATCTTATGGGGGTTGGGTAGCTCCTAATATTTATTATTTAGGAAATGCAGGAGTTATAAATATCGCCGGAATAAGAATAGCTGGTATTTCGGGTATATATAAGGGGCATGATTATAATAAAGGACGTTTTGAACTTGCTCCGTATGATAATAGTACAAAACGGAGTGTTTATCATATAAGGAACATTGACGTATTTCGTTTGAAACAGTTAAGTAACAAAATAGATATATTTTTATCGCATGATTGGCCTCGAGGAGTATATAATCATGGGGACGCAAAACAGTTGCTCAGACATAAACCATTCTTTAGGTATAAACTTATAAACATCTTGCATTTTTTTATTTAATTTATTTTTAATGTTTTTTAAATTAAATTAGGGAAGAGGTTGAGTCAAACAACTTAGGCAGTCCGCCTTGTGAAGATTTGTTATATCATTTAAAACCTAAATATTGGTTTGCTGCACATTTACACACAAAATTTGCAGCGGTTGTTCCACACAAAAGTACTGACGATTCTGATGATAGTGTTTCGGAAAGTACTAAATTTTTGGCTTTGGATAAATGTCTTCCACAAAGAAGGTTTTTACAAATATTAGATATACAGCATGATTCTTCAAAAACAATTGATATTGAGTACGATTTAGAATGGTTAACAATTTTACATCTTACAAACCATTTGTTGAGCGTAAAGGAAGGTTTAAATTATATGCCCGGCAAAGGGTCACCCCAAAGGTAATAAATTTAAATTTAGTGCTTGTTTAAGTAAAATTTACTTTAGCTTTTTCTTTCATTACTTTTCTATAGGTGGGTTTTTACACCAACTCAAGAAGAGTGTGATTTGATTTACCAAAAACTTGGTAAAAATTTAAAGGTACCTTTAAATTTCAAACAAACTGTAGTACCTTACAATCCCAATTCACCTCGCAAATCAAACGGAATGCCCATGGCACAAGTGAACGACCAAACAATAGCTATTTGTAACAATTTGAACATTGATGATCCTGTTGCACTTTTACTTATGTATAATAATGGTAGAATTAATCTTTGCAATTCCCGGCAGCATGATCTTACAAACTCTTTTTCGGATGTTTCAAACTCTTTTAATGAAAGCTTGCTTGATAATTCTACTAAAGATGATGTACCTCAAATTAATATTCAAAGATCGAGTTTGTCTTTGCCCTTGCCTAAATCTGAAGAAATAAATTTGTCAAGCGAAAATTTGGAAGAGATAGATTTACTTGACAGTGATGATTTTTATTTGAATTCAAATAATAAAAGAGTAAGTCCTACGATGCAAGATGACAAACCGGTTGAAGCAAACATCAAAGATATAGATGTTATTATTGAGTTGGAAAATAAGAAAAGCGTTCCCATTATTACAAGTGCTAAGAAATTTAAAAGACGCAACGAACAAATATATACCAGTTTAACTGAGGATGTATATTGAGTAAAGATTTAATGTATATATTTCGATATACAGTTATTGTAGAAATTTAACTGACCTAAATTAGGTCAACCTGATATTAATTTAAGTTTTAACAAATGACTTTGACAAACGCAATAGATTTATTCAAATTTAAACAAATTAAATTTGTTACAAATACAAGATTTTATCATTTTAATAGAAAAGCTAAATATTATGTATAAATACAATGAGTGCAATTCAAATTCGTTACTGCATGTATATTTATTAACTAATTTAAATGATGAAGGAATAATTACATAGAATTAAAACTTATTTTACAGATTGCATGTAAGCACGTACTTTTCTCGATGTTTTTATTTTTTTTAAATAAATATAGATGCTCATTAGGAAAATTTGTTGCTTTAATGTTTTGTAAACATCATTTTCCAGATAAAAAACAGAAATTTATGTGAGATAAATTTTACAAGATCAAAGAATAAAAGTTTAGATTTATATATTAAGTGTGAATGAATATTTCATTCAAGATACTTTTCTCTGGGAATAAATTTAACAAACCATATTTTCCAATATCTTTATTTACTAAATAAATATTTACAACAAAAACATACTACATCCAGTACTTAATTCTACCATTCCCTATATTTCCCTTGAGTCGCATGAGTCAATATCCAGGTATTCTTTTCTTTCTTCTTCATAGCCATTTGCTTATGCCGAGGATGTGTTGGACAAATCACATATTGTCTCTGTTCCCTTGTGACAAAATAGCAGTCTTTACATCTTCTTTTTAAATGCCCTTTGACTTTGAATCCACAATTTTGTACAATTGCAGGAATACTTGGCGTTAACATGGGTAAAGGACTTATGGTTCTACTCAGTATGTGATAGAATTTGTTTTGGCCATTTTGTAGAAATGGAGATATAGGAATTGATTTTTTGGTGATGATATTTATGGTGGATCTTAATATGGTATTTAGACTCATTTTAAATCGAGTTTTTGTTAATATCTTTTTGCGTCAAAATCAGGACCACATTTTAGGTTAAAAAGTGTTGCCAGATGATAAATGTCAGTTTGTAATGGGCATTACAAACATGCCTTTCCTTATCTATGGGAACATGTTTTATTAAAAAGCGGTTGTAAAGAACATATCAGTTGTTTATTTAATTATTACTATTTTAATTGAAAAAAAAAATTATTATTCGTAAAGGTGAATTAAATTTAAATAACAAGCAAATATTAAATTTATCATCTGGCAATTTTCAAGTTGTCACAATGTCACATAACCAACAAGCATCTGTTCAGTTTGATTTGATCTGGCTCTAAGTAATTAGTTTTCTAAATTATATATAGAAAAATAATAAAAAAAATGAAAAGGATGCATTCCAGAAGTATTCCAGATAGGTATTAGATATTCGGATTCTACTAATCGTTAAACTCGTTCGAGACGAGTGGTTAAGTAATTTTTTCCTAAATTCATTTCGTATTGACAGTAGCACTTTTATGTAGTTAATTTGTTTTATTAGAATTATTGCATGTGTTTTAATAATTTGATTTTATTTCGAATTTCTTTTTATAGATGGTTGGATTATACACCTCATGGTATACCTATTGATGGGACAAGATTTGTAGCTCTTAAAGTGCCCCTTAAAGAGGTTATATTGTTATAAATAAAACTATGCATTAATAATTCTAACGATAATGAACGTTTTTGTATTTTAGGCTTTGTGTTACATCTTCCAAGGTGGAAAAGGTATGTATGGAATAGATTAATGTTGAAATTACTTTAGATTAATTTTATAACTTTTTCAGGTTTTCACCTCAAATGTGGATGAGAAAACACCCCGATGTCGACTTAATTATAGATTTAACAAATACACATCGTTATTATAATTATCAAGTAAGTCTTAATTGAGCACACTGTAAAGCAATCTGTATATAAAACATTATTTTGTTGTAGGAGTTAATTTCCCGTGGTAAACAATATAAGAAGATCAAGACAGCTGGACGTATTGTGCCCGACCCTAAAATTGTGCAAGAGTAAGAAAAACATACAAATTGCAGACAAATTTGTTTAAAATTAATTTGTGATTGTGTATTTTTATCTTTTCTAGATTTTTTGACACTGTAGATGATTATATTAGAAATTGCGGTAACAGTGAATCGTTTATTGGCGTTCATTGTACACATGGTGTAAATCGAACAGGATTCTTTATTTGTAGTTATATGATTCGGAGGTTAGGGTTTCATCCTCAACAAGCAATTAGATGTAAGTAGTTGAACTCGGGGGCTAATTTTAGGATGAACTAGTGGTAATGAGTAAAAATTCTTACTTTACGAATGTGTTATCAAACATTAGAAAGCACTTATGATAAAATTGTTTTTGATGTAAAAATACATAGTTTTTTTAAAATTTGTGACTACTAATTTGTACGATTATTGAATTACCATATTTATTTATTACCATTACTATTTTATCCAAGGATGGGCCCCTCAATTTGTTTGCATAAAATGTTTATGAATCAATTTTTTTTATTGTAGTGTTTGAAGAAGCTAGAGGGCATAAAATTGAACGAAATAATTATATTCAGGCGTTGCTTGAAATGACACCAGAGTTTCATAAGCCCCAGGAACATATACAAAATTTTTTTTAGTTTTTATCAATTTTAACGAATAAAATTTTATTATTATAATTTAAGAATGGAAGATTCAAAAGACACGGATAAACAACCTTTAATAAACATAACAAACTATAGAAAACTAGTAAAAGATTTCATGAATTTGCAAGACCACAACACGGCATTGTTTTGGGCAGATAAAGTTTGTGCCTTATCAAATGGTGATCCTATGGATGTCTACAACATGGCGCAGTGTATGTATTCGTTAAACGAATACCACAGAGCCAGTGAAGTTATAAAACAGTACAATTTGCACAAAACTAACATGATGTGTCACTATTTAGCAGTTAAATCTTTGGTTCAAGCTAAAATGTTTGCAGAGGCTCTGGATTTATTGAATAGTGCTGACAACGAGCCAAATTTTAATGGAACTAGTTTTGCAGATGCTGAGTCTATTATTGAAGATAAAAGTAAAATGAGGATTTATGCCTTGTTGAATTATTTAAGGGGCCAAGTCTTTGAAGCTTTAGATAATCGAGTTTTGGCTTGTGAGTATTACAGAATGGCTATACAGAATGACGTGCATTGCTATGAGGCTTTTAATGCTTTGGTGCAACATCAAATGTTAACCGCTCTTGAAGAAAAACAATTACTGGATTCCTTACCTTTTAATCAACAATGCACTGAATCTGAATCAGTGATTGTGCGGTCCTTGTACGAAGGCTTATTAAAGAAATTCCATTCAAATACATCTAAAGCTACAACAACTCTGAAATCCTTACACAAGACGTGGATATGCAAAGTACAATTTCAGAACTAAAAGTTATAATTAACAAAAATGATGCATCAAAATTGACAAAATCAAATTGGAACACAAGCGTTCATGTTTCTTTACTACAGAATCAATCAGTTACCAATAATCCGACAAAAATGTCTTCAATGACTTGGTCACTTTCAAACAAACTAGGCTCCAACAACAAAATTAAAATCAATGAAACTATTGGTGATGGTGCACAACCGGTGGACACCAATAGAAATGGCATTGTAGTGCCTCTGGATGAAGGCAGAAAGCGGCTTGACCAAAGCTTTGATGTCCAAGTTTCCCAAGCTGAGATGCATTTTTACAACTGCCGGTACAAACAATGTTTAAAATTAACAGAAGCAATTTTGAAAAAGGATCCTTTCCATGTCGGTTGTTTAAAAGTGCACATCAGCTGTTTATCAGAAATGTGTAACTACAACAAACTCTTTTATCTTGCACATAAACTTGTTGATTTGTACCCGGATAAAGCTATTTCGTGGTATGCTGTTGGATGTTATTATTACATTATTGGTAAAAGTGACCCTGCACGCAGATACTTAGCTAAAGCTACTTCACTAGACAAGTTACTAGGACCAGCATGGTTAGCTTATGGACACAGCTTTGGTGTGGAAAATGAGCACGACCAAGCAATGGCTGCTTATTTCAAAGCTTCACAACTTATGCGTGGTTGCCATTTACCCATGTTGTACATCGGTTTGGAGTGTGGTTTAACAAATAATAACAAACTAGCAGAGAAGTTTTTCCAGCAAGCTGAAAAAATAGCTCCAGAAGATCCTTTTGTTATACACGAAATGGGTGTTATAGCTTTTCATAACCAGGATTATCAAACTGCTGAAAATAAGTTCAGAGAAGCCTTAGCTAAAGTTTCATCCGGTGATTGTTTGGTGAATGAATGCTGGGAGACTTTGATAAACAATTTGGGACATGCTTGTCGCCGCAATGGTAAACTACAAGAAGCCTTAGACTTCCACAAACAAGCGCTAAGAATAGATCCCCAAAATCCTAATACCTATGCTGCTATTGGTTTTGTGCAGGCTTTAATGAAACACACTGCGCAAGCAGTTGATTCGTTCCACATAGCCTTGGGTTTAAGAAGGGATGACACATTTTCTACAACAATGCTCAGTTTAACAATAGAGCAATTAATGGAAGAAGATTTATCCCCTGACGATTTTCCAAATGATCCTTTAAAACTTAAAGGTATTGAGTTGAGAGAAGGCACCAGTGCACCTATTAAACTCATAACACCAGAAAAACCTTCACAAAGTGTAAGTGGTCCATCTCAATCTGCAAATATTTCAGTAATGAACGAAACAAACGTCGACGAAATGAGTATGAGCATGGAAGAGTAACTGAAGTGCTTAATTATTATGTGTGTGACTTATTTTAACAAACTGAAGTCCTCTAATCATTGTGAATAGTTTATTTTTATACAAACATTATATATACACATGTAGTTCGAGTATTTGTATAATTGATTTTTAGTACAACTAAATATAATTACTTGACATTAACATTTTTTAATGTTTTTGAAACCACATTACCTTTTCCTGGCACATGCAGAGCTTTACCTTTATAGCATGCAATTAAGGATTCATTAGTTTGTAAATCAGGTGCACAAGTTTCAAATATTTTCTTCTTTGGATTCAATTGGGCATCGGGTTGCCTGGGAAATCCTTCACAGTGGACTAAATCTCCTGGAGCAGAACCTTCAGGTGGGGATAAGACTTCTACCTTTTCAGGAGTTGAGGCACACATCACCATGGCTTCGGATAAAACGCCACGCATCTGAAGTAATAAATTGAATAATAATGGGAATAAAGTAGGATTAAGGTTAAGTTATTACCTTAGCTGGTTTCAAATTACAAAGCAGAACAACCATTCTGTTTTGCATTTCTTCTAAAGGTACAAATTTAACAAGTCCGGAAACTACAGTTCTTGGATTTGGTTCGCCGCAATCAACTTTTTCAACGTATAAACTGTCAGCATCAGGATGCTTGCTGACTTCTACAATTTTTCCAACACGGAAGTCTAATCGGCCTACATCAATATCAGGTTCAGGAGCTGCTTCTTTAGGTGCTTTTGGAGTTGCTGGTGCTTTATCTTTCTTTTTATCCTTGGCAGGTTTGTTTTCGGGGTCCTTAGTTACTGCTACTTCAGGAACTGGTTTAGTTTCTTTTGCTGGTGCTGCAGGTTCCTGTACTGGGGCTGGTTTAGTTTCTTTTGGAGCTTCTATGTGGACTGTTTGACCAGGTACAGGTATTTGAGGTATTCCTTTAGCAATCTCTAAAGTTCTTAATTGATTTAAAAGTTTGGTTACTTCTTGAGACAGTTTTGAATTCTCAGTTCTCAATTTGGCTATTTCATTATTTACAGACAGTTCTTGAATTTCTTTCATCTAACGAAACAAAACAAAAACAATTAGTTCAATCACCATCATTACATCAAAGTATATTTTGTCATACCTGTTCCTTTAGGAATGCTATTTCTTTTTCTGCTTGAGCATTATTGTTTCTTATGCGAGTTAACAAAGCTTCATCAGCCATTTTCAAATAAAAACTTTTTGTTTTATTTATAATCTTACTAAATTTGCTAGTGTGACGTACACAGGTGCTGAAAAACATTAGCGAATAAATTCGGCATGCGAATAAAAATATATTAGGTTATGTTTGAGAATGTCTGTGCTTCTCAAAATAAACGAACGAATTGTTATGTAATAGTAAATGAAAGATAATTAAGGGAAGGGATAATTAAAATCATACTAAAATGTGTTAATTTTTTAAATTGGTATGGCTAGGTGTAAGTGGCATTTTGCCTCAGGCAAGTTGCAAGTAAATAATCGACTTAATATCTCTAAAACATTGACTTAAAAATCTAAGAATTGAGATTTGGCTATTTAGATAAAAAATTGCAGCTGTTTATTTCACAAAACAAATATTTTGCTTTTGAAACTCATAAATTTCAATCCATTTTCGAATCCTCCATCTTTGTACGCAGTCACCTATCTATTAACCTTTTTTCCTCTATGTCGTCCCGGTTGTCAAGTTTGTGTACGTCAGAGACGCGTCATCAAATATCAAAGTGACAAGCTGGCAAGTGTCTACCGTCTAGGCATAAGTTAAAATCGTCTTATCAAATATCTGTCTCTCCCACATCCACGGGAGCTTTTTAGCTGTTTAAATCGTAAATAAATTAATTCGTAATGGAGGTTCTATCGAGCGCCCTTAAAGCACAATTCCTTTTCCCTGCAACTGCTGTGGCTGCAGTTCTGGTTTGTGCGATTTTGGTATTTATTTTCGGATTCAAGTCGGCCGAACAACCTAAGTTCGAAAAATTATCGGCCGGAGATGATAAGAAACGCGATGCCAAGAAAAGGAAAACTAAGGAGAAGGTAATAATAGACATATGTAATAATGGACACATAATATGTAATATTATAATTATAAATCTAGTGCATGCATATGTAGTCTTTCGTTATAATTAAGAACTTTTATGCAATATTGTTTAGTATAATTTATTCACATTGTTTTGAATTTGTAGTTTACCATATGCTAATTCAATTCGTGTGCAATTACAATACTTATGCAATGTGAAACAATATGAAAACTATCAACATTTAGAAAATAGGTATAGTGGTTGAAAAATGATTTGGTTTATAAAATTTATATTCCTTCACTCTTTCAACAATTGCTCTGTGATTTAGCAGAGTAGTATCGTAATATTGTTTTAATACATTACTATAATTATTGAATATTACGATCACCATCTTATGATCATGGTTGATGGTTTAGATATCCTGATCTCTAGCTCTTTATTGACTGGTTAACAATTTATTCTTTGGAGCATTACTTCGACTAAGATATTTTAATTGTTGTAACTTATTTATTTAAACTTTTTAATACAATAAACGCTAAAACGCTGATTCACTTTATAGTAAGGTTATTCTGATGCTACTAAGATGTTCACATGAATAATTTAGATAAAACTGGTCTCTGGTCATTTATTAAATCATTTATAAGCCGGTCAACTGCTTATCCCCTTGATTGACCATTTATTGAACAATAGTATTGTTTCGGCTTAACACCAAATTAAACACCTCTCATTTTTTGTCAAAAGCACCTGAAAAAAGAATTTCCATTCTTGTATAAATTTTTTAATATACTGCAATCATCTTCATCGTATTGTTATTTCATAAAAAATTGTTTTTGACTGAAAAACCTAATGATGGAATGTATCTAATTCTGAAACGTCGTAGTTAACATCTCTAAAAAACTGTTTTTTTATTGGATTAATTGTTTGGAAAAAGCATATATAGATTTATAAATACATATATAATCTTAATACCTATCCTATGTGATCATTATATTTCTATTATCCCAGAAAACTGTGTCAAATGGCCATGCCACCAGCGCTTCAGAATCTAAGTCCGAAGTAAAAGCCTCCCCAACTAAAAAGTCTCCTGTGAAGGAGAAGCAGACACCCACAAAAGAGCAGAATGCTGCCAAGAAAGACAAAGAAAATAAAAAGGCAGAAGCACCCGCTCAAAAGAAAAATGATAAAAAATCTGCAGCCACCACTAAAAATAATCAACAGGATGATGTGAAAGTTAAAAAGAGCTCCAAAAATAAGCAACCCGAAGAAAAACCTCTAGACTTTGATGATGGCAACTGGGAGACAGTTTTGACCAAGAATGATAAAAAGAATCGCAAAAACTTAGAAGAAGCTAAAAAGGAAAGCCCCAAGAAGAATGCTAAGAAGGATAAGAAAGCTGAGGTTTTGGATAACAAAAAACTTGAAGAAGTCACAAAAGAAATTAAAGACAAAGTCAATGAACAGCAAAAGGCTGCTGCAGAAGTCGAAAAGATCAAGGAAGTTGTGCTTACACCGGGTAGTTGAAGCTGTTAAAGAGGAAGCTCCTGTTGAGGATAAGAAAAAGGCTAAGAAAGCTAAGAAGGTCGAAAGTCAACCTAAGGTTGAAGCTGAGAAAAAGGAAACCAAAAAGGAAGTGAAGAAGGAAGTTAAAAAGGAGGTCAAAGCAGTCGAAGAGGAAGCTGTTAAAGTTGCAGTTGAGCCTGAAGTTGCTAAAACTGCTGTGCCTGCACCGGTATCAGACCAGCCTGTTGCTTTTGATGAATTGGGAGGTAAGAAATTATAAATAAAAATATAAAATAGTAGTATAAGTACACCAAAGTGTTTATTATACTCAAACAATTATTTGTTTAAATATTTTGCAAATCACATTGAAATTCAATGAAAACAAAGCATTTGTTTGTAAAAACTTGATCTCATGTCAATTGTTTGTTTAAAAATTCATTGCAGACACAATGAAATATTCTTCCATGTTTACACAAGATAACAATGAAATTTTAATATACATTTATCAATATTTCAAATTACACGTTTAATACTACAGTTTTAAATTTGTTATTTCTTTAAAACCGGTGTAATCTGCTTTTATTGTTTAAAAGTTAATAATAGACCACGATTTTCTCCAGAGGAAAAATATTACAAAATAGAATTATGTTTCAAATACAAGTGTCCAATGCATTTGTCTACAATTAATTAATACAATTCACAAATTAATCTTCAATAATTCTTTTACCAGATGTGTGGACCGAGGCCAAAGCTGCAAAGAAAACCAAGAAAAAGCTCGCAAGGAATGAATAAATATCACATTGTAGATAATTACTAGAAGAAAAATTGACGAGTTCTTGTCTTGTCTGTCTAAATAATACAAGACACTCGTGTGATGGTTTGTATCATATCTGTCAGTCGTATAAATGCGGTTGAAACTTCAGAATCATATGCTGATATAATTTTGGTTTTTGAAACATAATTTTGTTGAATGTTTCTAAGTTTTATCGAGTGAAAAGTGCACTGCCTTTTCTCAGCTGGTACCTGAGCTTTGTAAAAAAAATTGTTTTAGTCAAAGTACATGCAGCTTTTGTTGAGATAAATAAAATAAATCAAAGGCTGCATGTATTTATATTTTGTAAAGTGTAATAACTTTTTCGGGAGAATGATTTTAGAGATTGTGTTTTTAGATTTTGTTTGCGAAATGACCAACTAATTGTTAACAACGATGTTTTTTTTATTGTTTGAAGATATTAATAGTTTAGAATGAAAGTAAACTCATTGTATTAGGAGGTCCAACAGAATTAGGGTCGATTTATACAAACAATACATAATTATATATATATATATATATATATATATATATATATATATATATATATATACATTTAATGTGTATATGATCTAAATCACATAATTTATTGGTATAGATCGACTGTATGACAATAAACTTAGTTAACCTTAACTAATAGTTGGAATATATTAATTAAAATCGATTAATTTAAATACAGCACACTATGACATGATTTTTAAAACTCGCTATACGACTTTTATAAGACTGCAACATAGAAAGAGCGCTGCTTTTGTGTACTTATAAAATGTCCTATATATTTTTCCAAATAAATGTTTTCTGTTTCGATGATATTTGAAATACTGTGTAATTGTAAATATTTAATATTACTTTTAAGCATAAGTATAGTTATATATCAATTAGATTATAAATAAAAAGACAATTAATATATATATAAATAATCTGGATATAGATATATTGTAAAGATGTGTTATGCCCTATTTTTGCTTACGATGGAAATATAAGATGAGATATTTTGTAAGTTATTTTTGTTGGCTTTTGGGTAAAAATTTGCTAGTGCCAAAAAAAATGTTTAAGTTCTATTAGGCATAAATAAAATTGCATGTTCAGTGTATGAATACTAAGTCTCTTCCTATCGGCAACACAAAAGTTTACCTATAAATATCACAAAGGCTGCTAAATACAGTCGTCCGACTTTGAAGATTCTTTAAATTTAGCTAATGTATATAAAATTATGTACGCATATCATTTTTTATAGTAATTAATTTTAATCAGATTGGAAATTGTAATATAAAATTCTTTTGCAATTGTTATTGTAAGAATGAAATATTTGATTAAAATGTTTTGTCTGCAAAGAATTTTTAAACAAACCATGAATTTTAGATTAAAAGCAGAAAAATTAGTTTTTAAAACTATTATATAATGAATGCAATTTGCAAAACATTTTGAACAAATATTAATTCAAGTAAAAACATGATATGTTTATACATCTATTTGATAAATTATAATTTGTATAGTTTCCAAATGAATTTTTACCCATGGGACTGAACAATGTTATAATATCTTTTACAAGACAATTTTACTAAATGATTTTTAATATGTGTAATTAATAATGTAGTATAATAGATAATTTATAAATTATATATTTGTAGATAATTAATTTTGAATTTGACGCGTTACTTTAGTGGTGTGAAGATGGTTTTAAGTTAATTTTTTTTATACGCCTATCTTCAGGTGTTTTGACAGTTACATTATTTGTACTTGCCACAATTTTTGGTTGTTGAAAATTATTGTGTAATTATGTGTTTTGATTTTAAAAAGAATATAAATCTTTATTATATATACGTGGATGCGTTTTTATTAGTAATACATAACTAAATAAAATAAGTAAAAATGTGGATATAAGGTAAGAATTTTTTTATTGGGGTTATGTACAGTGTCATTGTATTGTTTTATGAATGCTTGTTGTTCATTGTTAAGAGTAATTAATATGTTTATAATTTGCACAAATTTTGCGGTAAATACTTTGTTTATTTGTATGTAATTATATGAAGTGAATTTTCCCAAAAAACTATGTAAAATCCGCCGTTGGTTTGAAGTTTTCAATAAACAAAATGGCGGTTTTAACAGAATTTGTTTAAAAGTAAAAAACAACCAGTAAATTGATATTAATTTTTATTAAAGTGACATTGATAAATTTTACAACAACGGTATAACAAAACATACACATTTCAAAGCATATAAAAAATATGATCTACAAAGCAAAAAGACAGTACTATCTAGAAGAAACACAAAAATGTGAAAATGATCCTCGGAAAATCTGGGAGCTAATAAACAAATCATTAAGGGGGAAATAATAAAAATGAATATAAAGACAGTATTAAAAAATTAAACATCAAGATAAAACATATTTCTTACGGAAAAGGAAAACATTGCGGAGTATCTCAATAAACATTTTTGCTGAAATAGGAACAAAACTACAAGAAAAACTAGATCAATGCAACTACATATCATCAATATCTAGACCTGAAAACAAAAAACAAATTTTGAACTAACAAATGAAAAAGAAATAATAAAAATTGTGGAAAACCTGAAAAACAACGCTGCACCTGGAGAAGATAAAATAACAGCAAGAATTATAAAAAAAATAATTTATCAAATAGCTCCTCTACTCACTTTTTTAATCAATAACTGCATAAAAAGGGTATTTTTCCTTCGTGCCTCAAAACAGCCACAATAAAACCAATTTTTAAAACAGGAACAAAACAGATCCAAATAATTACAGACCAATTACAATAACTAATACATTCTCCAAAATATATGAAAAAATAATTAAAGAAAGACTACTAATTTACTCATTCAAAAATAGATAAACATCATATGGTTTCCTCCCTTCATCAAATACTCAAGTGCCCCTAATAGATTTGACCAATACCATCAGTCAGCACCTTGAGGAAAATATGCATACAGCTGCTGCAATTTTTATTGACTTACAAAAGCTTTTGACACTGTAGATCATGGCATATTGCTCAATAAATTAATAGATTTGGGTGTAGTAGGTTTGTATTACAACATAATTAAAGATTTTCTCGTGGAAAGGGTGGTAAGGACGAGGTGGGAAATTTTACAAGTGGGGGTCGTAGCATAACTTGTGGAGTCCCACAAGGTTCTGTTTTAGGTCCTTTATTATATCTGCTATATACCAACAACCTAAAAGATGTAAAATTAAAGGGCAGATACATACTATATGCAGACGATACTGCCATAGTATATGCAGATAAGGACAAAAAAAAGCTTGAAGATACAATAAACACGGACATGAAAACATACACCGACTGGCTAACTAAAACAAACTAAGAATTAACATCAATAAAACAAAATACTATATTTCAACATAAAAAAAATACTGAAGAGAACACTAAACTAAGTATTAAAGTAAATAATAGAGAAATAGAAGAAGTGGAAAGCATAAAATACTTAGGACTGATAATAAATGAAAAACTGACATGGACAGAACATATAAACAAAATAAAAAGAAAAATTGGAACATTAACAGGGCATTGAAAAGGATCCACTCTTTCGCGCAAAAAAATAAAATACTAATTCTTAAAACACAAATACTACCTATAATTTTATATGGAATAACAACATGGAGCCAAACAACTAAAGCTAACTTAAATGACATACAGACAATAATGAATAAAGCCACCAAAATAGCATACAATTTTCCACATCTGACACCCACCAAATACTTACAGAGAGAAACAAATAATCTTTCACTAAATAACATAATTAAAATAGAGAAATGCAACTAATACACAAAATGAAATTAACCGAATTAAAACAGCAACAACAATAGACATAAATCAAGATATACATGAACACTATACTAGACAACACAACAATTTTCACATTGAACACAATAGAAAGAAGAATTTCAGAGAAATGTCATATGGAGTGCCAGCAAAACATATAACGAATTGCCAAACAATATTAAGATGACCAAAGATGACGATAAATTTAAAAGAAAAATAAAAAACACTATAAGGAAATTGAAGACCAAGAAGACTGAGAGTGATATATAAAGATATTTTAGTTATATATAGATATTATATTAATGAAATAGATTATTATAGTCAATGAAATGTATATATTATATGAAAACTGTTTTCATAATCTCTCATACCAGGCAACTCTGCCTGACTGAGATATGAAAATAATGTATATATATATATAAAAATAAAAAAAAATAAATAAAAATGTCTACAATAAACACTATATATCCTTTTATATTTTTATCTCAATTCTGTTTCCTTCCCAAACTTTTGCTCCTGGTCATAGTTTTGCTCTTAGATCTAGCAGACTGAGGTCCGACACTTTTGCTTCTTCTAAGGGGCTTATTGCCCTTCGCACTTTTATTTTTCGCATTAGAATTTCCTACAGCGACTGTACGAGGTCTCCTCTGGTTGTTTCGGGATTTCCCACGCGCACCTCCGCCTCCGGTGCCTCCTCCGGGCGCTCCGGAACTTTGGGGCGCTATTGTTTTAGGAATATTGTTTCCGGTTTGATTTTCAGCCGCGTTTGGATCTGGACGGGCAAACATGTCGTAGGTGAATTTGTAACAATTCTTTCCTGGATAAAAGAATTTTGATAAATCAAACTTTTTTTTATCTTGTATTAATATTTTTTTACCGTCACAGAGTTCTTCAAGACATTCAGCACAAGAGACTAATCTTGTTTCGATGACCCCTGCGCGATTTTTGGTCTTTCGAGCATCAGGTTGTTTTGCTTCCTGGGTCTTTTCTCGTTCCAGAGCTTTCATTGAAGCCTTTCCGAGTTCCACCAGTCTGTAAGTGATTTTTTAAACCTTTTATTGTTTTCTAATCATTTGTATGTATTTAAACATTGTACCTGCTGAAATATTCTTCGTCCACTTTATTTTTTGGACGCAAAGTGGTCAACATTCTCCAATCTATTGGAACTGAATATAAATCTTCCATTTTTAGAGATTGCATCTCTATTGGAATTGGATTTTGGTATTTGTATCTGCCGCCTGTGTTTGCTTCTTTGTTTTTACGAACCATCCCTAAATAATAAAAAAAAGAAGAAAGAATTAAGAAAGTTCTTGGCTGATTGTCAAGCAAAACTAAACAACGCGTTGTTTCTAAATTTTGGTCGGATTTTTTGACAAAAACATGAACTTTTCTTTCGGTATGTTAACAAATATTAAATGGCAATTAATAAATTTAATATACATTAATTTCCTTTTCTACCTGGTGTAGGTGATCCTGTATTATTAGCCCTTGCCTCCTGCATTTGTTGCAACCGAAGTTCCTGGCTCAAACGTTTTTTGGAAATGCGAAATTTGAAGTTTTTTTCACGTATTCTGATCTCTTCTTGACGAACCTGAATAATAAAATTATAAATAACTAGTGGTGTATGGCATTGTGCCTTAAGGCAAATTTTCAAATATATTATTACAAATACTGTAACTTTCATTATTTTTGCTATCTTGTTATATCTGAGTAATCAAAATCGAATGTTAATCATAAATCAATTTATCTCCGAAAAGAACATTAACAATCGTCATTTCATTTCGAATTCAATTAAAAACAAAGCCTAATTTGCACAAAATTGAAAAAGTGCTCTCGTATAGTCACAGTCTAAACGCATTTGCAAATAATTATGTGCGACATTTTCACTTATACTGTGTTTATCTTGGCGGCATTTTTACATTTTTCAATAGTTTTTACAAAATTGGAAAAGTGCTCCAACAGTCTAAACGCACTTGGGTAAATATTTGTACCAGGGTGGCGCTTAGACTGTGCTTAGCATGGCTCATTTTATGGAATTTTTAATCCAAAATTACAAAAATATTTGTTCTGGAGAAGTTAATAAGAGATTTTTTAATTAGACATTTTTTATTACCTTGATGGGTCTTGTTTTGTAGTCAGGTACTTGTTCCAGCAGCCTCTTAAATTCTTCCTTGGTGTCAGCTGAACATTTGGATAAATCTAAGACTGTTGTTTCCTCTTTTTTATCACCAAACAGATCATCCATTTAATATATTAAATATTAACTAACAAGGTTAACAAGTTTTAGGCAAAATGGAGTTTTATTGATCAAACAACTGGGAAATTTAACCTATTTCTATAAATAGCTTTCTTGGAGTATTTTCTGATTTAATGGAAATTAAAACAAATTAGAAACTGATAATTTTAAACTTATTTTAAAATCATGAATTAGTTTTTAAAGTACACCTATCAACAGCAATGTTTATTAGAGAATAATTTTTATCATTTTACAAGGTTTGGTGATCAGAATGTTACTTTTGTACATATTTTTGAATTATAAAAATGCGGAAATATATTAAAATCACTTTATTATAAATATATTATCAGATAATGATTAAGGTTTAAAGAAAAAATAAGTTTTTCAAACAATTATAAAAATTTTACTCCATTTTTATTAAAACAATGATTACATTCGGTTAAACATTTTTATAAATGTTATAAAATATTTTAAATAGATATAATCAAAATTCAGTAAATCTAATTATTGTTTAATAGAATAATATATAAAATATTAAATAAGGTATAATATCAATATAAATCGGTGCAAAAACACAACTAATTTATTGATATAAAATTATTATTTAATAAATCTACTTTTATATAAATGGTTATTGGTGAGTTTATAATAGCCAGTTGTGCTATATATAGTAAACATGAGTTTATGAATTATTTTTTATTTTACATGTGATTTTTTGTGATATTTCTTAATTTAATTACAAATTTAAGACTTAAAAATTTTGCAACTTTATTTGTCAATATTCCAAAATTTATAGAAAAAGCCAACAATTATTTTTTATTTTGAAAATTGCAGAAAATTTATAAAAATGTTCTTATAATTATATAACAATACGGTAATATTTAAGTTCAAGGATATATTTTTTTAATATCAAATTGAAAACAGAAAACAATATTAAACTAGTGGTGTATGGCATCGTGCCTTATAGCAAATTTGCATACTTGTTATATCTGAGCAAATCAAATGTAATTATAAATAAATCAATTTATCTCCAGAACATTAATAATCGTCATTTCATTTCGAATTCAATTTCAAAAAACAAATGTTGGCCTAATTTACACAAAACTGAAAATGTCTCTCCCGCATAGTCACAGTCTAAACGCATTTGCAAATAATTCTGTGCGACATTTTCACTTACACTGTGCTTAGCTTGGCGGCATTTTCACATTTTTCAATAGTTTTCACAAAATTGGAAAAGTGCTCCAGTACATCATAAACAGTCTAAATGCACTTGGGCAAACATTTGTAACCAAGTGGCGCTTAGACTGTGCTTAGACTGATTATTTTTTTCTGAGGTATGCTAAGATTCAAATACCTTCAAAACGTCGAAAATGCAAAAATTTTCATTTAAGATTTTCGGCTCATTACTATAACTACCCTACGGGAAGTAAAAACAAAAAACAATATTAATATATCATTTATATAAATATAGTAATAAAAAAATATATGAATTTTACATTGATTTTATGTGATTATTTAATACAAAACTCTGAAAAACTTCATAAAACTCAAGTTCACTAATAATCAATAAAGCTAAACTTTTTAATTTAACTATTTATGAAAAAACAACTTTGAAAAAATTTCCATTAAGTCTCAGAAAGCTTTTCTTAGAACAAAATAATTATTATTTTATAATGGCTAAGTCTGCCTTCACCAGAAATACAAAAATTTACAAGTTGAATACTTTTTGAATCTTCGAATCGGTACAGCTGTCCTTCTCAAAATACTAAAAAATCCCAACATACGTTTAAAATATTTTGGAAATTATATGATCATCTTTACTATATATAGCACACCTTTGTAACTAGTCATTTAATAATTCCAAAACGTATTGTTTTAGACCTAAATCTAATTCCTTCAATCTTCTATTTCCAACCGTTCAATAGTCCTCAAATCCTCATCACTGCCTCCATTTTTCTCAATTTTTCTCCAACCGTTCCTGGTAACAATCCCTTTATTTTTCCACACACCAGATCCGGTCATGAGCTGCTCCAAAATCACATCGCTGGAACTTCCACTAGACCACTTTCTGTTCCTCGAAGATTTTTTCTTCTGGTTTTCATTCTGCTCGTCCAGTCTGTCCTTCCTGGTGAGACCTGATGAAGTACGGACCAGGGGTACGATTTCTGTGGTCTGGTGGATGATGTTTCTTGAAATCTGTTTTGGTTTTTGGGTTTTTGATGGTGTTTCTGTGTTTGAAGATTGGTCTGATGTGGATTTTGAGAAGACTTCGTCGTTTGGCTGATCGTCTTCGCTGGAACCATCCACGCTGTACTCTTGCTGAAATAAAAAAATAATTATGCATATATTTATTTGTATACTAGCTGACCCGGCAAACGTTGTTTTGCTAAGTAAGGTTTATTCTAAACAATTTCTAGAAAATCAAAAATATTAATACTTTAAGTGAATAAGGATGTGTTTTGTGAATGCTATATACAATGAGGTAATATAAACCCCATTAGTTTTGTCTATATTTTGTCAATACAATCAAACTGGAAGTCTTATTCACTTTCTATAGAAAACATTGTATAATCCAATCCTAGTCTTTTTTGCTCTTTCGACTTATTGATTACGTTTCAAGTTTTTCAGATTCTTTTTGGATTCTGGATTTTGTGTATAATTGTAAATAATACTACTGAGCTTATACAAAATTTTCAAATTTTTGCGAGGAGAGATAGAAAATGAATTAAATATTTCTTCTTTGACCTGCTTTTTGAAAAGTTTCAAGTAATATTCGATGAATTAAAGTAAACTTAATAAAAAGTATATATGTAGAGCAAGGCGAGGCACAAAGGTCGAATTTGACTTTGAGCAAATATTAATTATATTATAAAAATCAAACTAATTATATCGCAACAATAATATCAAACGAACAATTATCTAACTACGTTCAGTTAAACTGCCAGCTATTTCATCATTGTACAAATGTGATTTTTTTATGTCTTTCAAAAATTTGTTATCTAGACCTTTTCGGAGGCGGAGTAACTCGGAACGGCCAGGTGGCAAACAGGTTTAATGTCTTATTTAATTTTAAAGGTATTTTACAAAATAATTACACTTTTAAACTAAATGCTAAAAAACTCAGAAAAACAACGTAAGAAAATACTTTTTTTATGGATTTTCAAAGATTGTCGTTTATCTCCCGATGGCAAAGTCATAAGAATCAAGGTTATAGCTGGTTATACACCCTTTTCCCTCGACTTTCAAATTTTGTTGTTAAACAATGCTTAACTTAACTGATTTTTGACACATTGGTGGTGGACGTTTTTGACCCCGGACCTTCTTATTTTACTGTCTATTTTTCGATAAATTCTGGGAAATTATAACTGGGAAAATGTTATTCGACAAAATGTCCCTTTGATCGATACCAAATTTAGGTTCTGAATTTAAATAACATAAATAAAAAAATAATTGATGAGGATCACTGTCATTAATTAGATATAAGCGGACTGCAAATTATAAATGTTTCATCACCATAAGATATGTGAATAGAACCACTCTATTTAGTTTATGATATATTGAACTTTCGAATTAGTTATTGATATATATTGAACTTTACCCTACAACCTTCTTCTCTTATTACATTTGCTAGCCTTCTTTATATTGTTATAAGTTATAGGTATTTATACTCAAACAATTGTATCATCTACCCCAAAGGGCCCCTGGTTAAATAGAAAAAGTGTTTGAGAAAAATATGATTTGGAAAAAAGAGTGCTACAACGCCAAAAAGTGCATTTTTATATTAACATTTCAAAAAAGTTGATATTTTGAGTTTCTAGTAACACTTGCGATCCGTTTAATAACGTTTTTGTATATAAATATAACTACGAGCAAAACTATTTACAACAATTTAATCATAATGAAATAATATTCACGTAAAACATCCTATTAAAAGTAAATGAACATCATCTGTCAAAAACGTTTGTCATTTGACGGATTTGCCACCGTCCATTGTTTTATTCAAATTGCGCTTCTACAAAAATGTTCAAATTGAAAATGTAAAGTTTATACGCGATTTTGAAATAATATCTCACCTTTCCGACAATCTACTGATTAGCACGAATTTTTCAAGACTAAAACTGGCCAAATCGGTTTAGCCGTTTTCGAGTTTTAGCGGATCATTTGATCGAGAACTCCATTTTTATATATATGAAGATAAAATTTATATTTACTTACCTGTATTTCATAAGCCCTTCTGAGTCTAATCTGGCGATGCTTCCTACGTCCTCCATTGTTCCTCCTCAATTCATAAAAAGGATCCTTTTCACTCTGAGTCACGTACCTCACAGTGGGTCTATTAGCACCCCATTTAGGCCTCTCATTCGAAGGTCTCCTTTTACTATTATTTCTAACACTGCTGGCACCGCCATCAGAAGAAGAAACCGATCTTCTTTTATTTTTTTCATCAGTCTGAGTCCATGCTTCCTTGAGTTGTCCTGACCTGAATTTGGAAGGCGTCAAGGGTCTGTCGGAGCCACAAGCCACGTGGCAAAGACTTCCTGCAGAAGCATATCGTGGTAGTATTGCCTGATGAGGGTAAAAGTCTTTGTGGTAGGGTTGGAAGCTAGTGTTGGGGGATGGTAAGGGATTTGGGATAACTAATTCTTGGTTCTGAGGTGGTTGTGAAACTATTTGTGAAGATTCTGGAGGTAAGTTGGCAGTATTTTGTGGTGTTGAATCAGGTTTTTGGATAAATTCGTTTCCCAAATTTCTGACTGTATAAACTATCTGAGGTTGCACATTAGGAGCCATAAAATTTGGTGTATACGCCAGTTGTAAAGATTCCAAACTACTCTGTAACTTGCTAACGTTTTGTGATGACTCTTTCTGAATTTCGTGATAAATTTGTTGGTTTTGCATAAAATTTGGAGCATAAGCCAATTGTTCTCGTGCTGACAGTATCTGGACATTTGGTACTGGTGGTGCAGATTGCACCATAACATCTGGAGGTCTCAAAAGCTGGTAATATTCTGATGAGTTTACATTATTGTCTACGTATGTGGAAATATTTGGATGTATGTAGTTTATGACTGGTGTTTGGGATTTTGGAATTATCAAGGGTTTAGTTTGATTGTCTGTTGGTTCTACGTTTTGATCAGGAATTTCTTCTTGGTTTTTATTGGTATCTGCTGTAGTTTCTTCATTGGCTGCAGGTTTTTGCGTTTTTCGCAATTTTATAGGTGATCCTATAAGTACTGTATTAGTTTGAGGCTCGTTCGGAGTTCTGCTTCCAGTAGATGCTCCTGACTCAAAAGCAGAATCAACCTATAAAAAATTATCAGTAAAATATTTGGTTAGGTTTAATTTTTTTAATAAATTAGTAACCTGGTCGTTGCTTCGTCTACTAGATTTCCTACGTTCCTTTTTTCGCTTTTCAGCTTCTTCAGCAGCCTTTTTTAAAGCTTCTTCGGCAGCTCGTCTTCTTTCGTCTTCACGAGCTTGTTTTTCTTCACGTTCTCTCAATTCTCGACGTCTTTGATCATCTTCTCTAAAATATAAAAAAAAATTAAATACCAGAATTAAATAACAGGATAGAGAGGAACTTGAAAGTCCTTGGTAACAAAGTCCACAAGCATTATTTCAAAAACAAGTAAAGTTTGGAGTTTTTCAATAATAATATTTTAAAGTAGAGGGCAAATGATGTGTAGCTATTAACTTTGGGGGACTTTGCTAAAACAAGATGAAGGCCACATTGGTAATTTTTCAACAAACGTATTTTTTTTCATTATTAGTTTATTTTGGTTTTGAGCACTGTTATTTAGTTTAATATACCTGAATATAAAATTTTCATGAGGGAAAAGACAATTTTTTGTCCTCTGCTTTAAAATATTATCATTAATTTTTTTTTGCATTTTATGCATTTTATAAAAATTTCATTATTATAGATATAAGCTTTAAGTTTTTTTTCTCTACTTTAAAATAGTGTTGTTAAAAATGTTTATAAATTTTTAAAACAATTCATCATTTATAAATTAGCTTTATGCTATTTTTTTTAATTTGTTACCTGATCCTTTTTATCCCATAGGTGAGGTACAAGGGAACAATCTTTTGCCCTCTACTTTAAAATAGTATCGTCAAATTTTTTTATACAATTTTCATCATTATAGAAATAAGCTTATTGCTTTTTTTAAAAATTTGTCACATGTTTTTTTTATCCCATAGACGAGGTAAAAGAGTATCGGTAATTTTTTTTCTAATTATAGAAGTAAGCATTATGCCATTTTTGAAAAATTTGTCACCTAGTTCTTTTTAGACGAGGTACAAGGCGACAATTTTTTGCCTTCTACTTTAAAATAGTATCGTTAAAATTTTTTGTACATTTTATACACTTTTCATCATTTAGAAATAAACTTTATGCCTTTTAAATTTGTCATTTAGTTTTATTTATCCCATAGGCGAGGTAAAAGGGACCATTTTTTGCCCTCTACTTTGAAATAGTATCGTTAACTCTTTTTATACATTTTATAAAAATTTCATCATTATAGAAATAAACTTTATAGTACTTTTTAAAATTTGTCACCTGATCTTTTTTATCCCATAGACGAGGTAAAAGGGAACTTTGCCCTGTACTTTAAAATAGTATCATTAAAAGTTTTTGTACATTTTGCAAAAATTTCATCATTATTTGAATTAAGAACCTGGTCTTTTTTATCCCGGAAGGTAAAAACGGACAATCTTTTGCCCTCTACTTTAAAATAGTATCGTTAATTTTTTTTATACATTTTAAGCATTTTATAAAATTTTCATAGAAATAAGCTTTTTGGATATTTTTTTATAAATTGTCACCTCATCCTTTTTTGCCCTCTACTTTAAAATAGTATTGTTTAAATTTTTATACAATTCTTGTTTTTGAGTTTATGGTGTTAGATATTTTTTGGAGTAAAATTTACCTTTGTCTTTGCTCTGCCAACTGCTTATCCCTTTGCCGTTCCTCAATTTTTTTCCTCTCCAACTCCTCTCGTTTTCTATCTTCCCTTTCCTTCAATTGCTTCAAAACTTCAGCCTGCACCCTTAAAGCTTGCGCCCTTTTTGCTTCGCGTTCCATCAACACCATGGAATCCAGGGGCACGTTTTGACCTCTCAAATGAGTCCTAGGACCAACAAAAATTACATCATTAAATAATCACAATTACCATATTATAATACAAAAGTATTTTAGGATGATGACACGTACCTTGGTTCGTCCTCCTGCTCCGTACCAGAAGCGGCAATGCTACTTCTGTCCAGCCAATCTGGTGCTCCTGATGCACTTGCTGCAACCAGAGACGAACAGGAGGATGAGGTGCTCATCATGCGTCTTGGCATCTGTCTGGACCCTAGGTAAAGGAAATATAATAGAAAGATTTATTGCACTTGCCAAATTATAATTAATTTTGAAATTGACACATAAAAATTAAATATTTTAATTTAGGTAGTTTTTATACATGCAAAATGTATAAAAATCTACCTGGTACTTTGGTAATTTTTATGATTCAATTTTTAGTACCTACTTTTTACCAAGTATATGATTCACATATTCAATTTTTTTCAAGAAGACGGTTGAAATTGTTGAACAAAATTCTATATTGTTAATAATAATTTAAAAAAATTTATAATATAAAGACAAATACTAACCTCGATCATCCCATCTCGGTCTGGTTGTGGTTGTTGCAGTAGGCATCATGGGTGCATGAATGCTTCCACTAGATTGTGATGAGATTTCTGGTGAACTGTATATTCTATAATTGAAATAAAAAAAAATGCTGAAAACAAAATCAAACTAGTGGTGTATGGAATCGTGCCTTAAGGCAAATTGCTGGAACTTCCCGTACCGTAATGAAATATTCGAGAAATTTCAAACGCTTTCAAAAATATTATTACAAATACTGCAATTTTCATTATTTTTGCTATCTCTCTTGTTATATCTGAGCAAATCAAATGTAAATCATAAATCATAAATCAATTTATCTCCAGAACTTTAACAATTGTCATTTCATTTCGAATTCAATTTCGAAAAAAATAGTTGCCTAATTTGCACAAAATTGAAAAAGTGCTCCTATATAGTCACAGTCTAATGCAAATAATTATGTGCGACATTTTCACTTATACTGTGCCTATCTTGGCGGCATTTATACATTTTTCAATACTTTTCACAAAATTGGAAAAGTGCTCCAGTAGATAAACAGTCTAAACGCACTTGGGTAAACATTTGTACCAGAGTGGCGCTTAGACTGTGCTTAGCCTGAGTCATTTTTTCAATTTATAATCCAAAATTACAAAAATTGTTTTATGAAAAATAAAAAAAAGATGTAATAATTTTTTATCATCAAAAGCAATTGTCTTGTCAATACAAGCAGAAAGTTTTTTATATCATTCAAATCGGATGCTTAGTTCACTCAAAAACAGCCAGTTTTTGCACATTTAGCTCTGTATCTTCGAAATGGCGGGACCTGTCTTTGCCAAAAACTAATCACCTCTTCTCCCAATCATTTCAAATTGAATGTTTTTTAGATCATTCAAATCCGATACTCCGTTCTTTCACAAACTCGATTTGAATTTTCTGCATTCTTTGCTTCGTATCTTCATAACGGCTAGACCTGCCTTTGCCAAAAACTAATCAGCACGTCTCCTTATCAATAGGAATCGGATGTTTTTTGAATCATTGAAATCGGTTGGTCCGTGCGTCCGAAAACAATTTTTTGTTTAGGAGGAAAAATTGTATCCATACATACATACACACACACACATATTCATTTTTTCTAAGGTATGCCAAACTGTTCAGAAACTTCTGAAACGTGAAGATATATAAAAATTTTCATTTTCGATTTTTTTGCGATTACTATAACACACCCTACGGGAAGTTAATAATATTTATATATTTATTAATGTTATTATAATAGGGATCTTAAACCTGCATTTCGCACAAATTGATATCAAGCAGCCGTGATATTCATTCTTATTCGAAATATCTAAGTAAACATATACTTGCCCGGCATTGCAGCTTAAATTTTAAAATATATCATTTTTTTTAGAAATATTTTAATAGAACAAAAAATAAATATTTGTTGGTCAACTATTGGGTTGCATTCTAACGAAAACCACCTAATGTCAGATCCATAATTAAAATGAAAAAAAAAATGATAAAACGTGACCACAATAGCTAGAAAATGGTCACCTTTCCAACTAAGCTCTGGGTTTTACTTAAGGCTGATAATTTTCTTGAAGCTCAAATTTTCATTTCGGTTTGATGTTGAGTTCTGGGACAGCCTGTATATATATATATATATATATCTCCATATTTTACTATATCGTCATCGATTTTATTTCCAGATTGTTTGCATGTTAGCCATTCATTCAATGTGATATGACCTCCTTTAAGGACTTGGACGACCGTCCATTTGTTTTACAACACTTTAAGTTCAAAGAACTATTGCCAATGCATAATTTATATGGGAAACGATATAAATATAGATCAGGAGAAAATAAACCTACTACGAGGTAACGATATTTTTAACAGATTTGTGTAACCGATAATTTAATTCAATTATATAGTCAATGGAATGATCGTAGTAAATGTCTTCCAAATGTTTTTGAGATTTGAGTTAAAAACCCGTTCATGCAATAGTGATATCAGTTTTCAGGTCAAAATATAGATCAAGATGTATTTTCAAGGGTAGATAGTTTTTTAGGGCATTGGTACAATTAACAAAGACAACCATAGGGTTACTTTCTAATAGGCAAATAACTTCCAAATGTATTTGTAAAATTAAATGTATAAAATTGATTGAGTAAAGTTATTTTACCGACTTTACTACTTCGTACGGAATAACCGATGTTTATTTTTAAATTTTAACGAAACGAACATCCTGGCGTCCCAGGTTACCCCTGCATTTCGGACAGCTTGATATCAAGCTGCCGTGATATTCATTTTAAAATATTATAGGCCTGCGAAAAGTGGTTTAAGATTTTTGAGGTATATTATATTAAATTTTACTATTTTATTAACGATTACACAATATGTTATATTGGTTTATATTGTTCACTACTTATCCCCAATCAATTTTTTATACAAATTGCTGGGATTCGATCTTAGTACCTCTATACAATGCGAATCGAGCTTGTTCTAATTTCATAATATACAAATTTCACTACTCTTTTAATATCATATTTATAATTCGACCCAAATATTATTTACAACGCCTCCGTTTCTTTTTAATATGTAAAATACCAGAACAACATCGCGTGTCACTTAAAATGGTAATTATTTAAGATTAGATTTTAATCTATATGTGTCTCTTGTAAAAATTATAAATGTTTCGCATTTTTTTCTGGGGTAACTGGACTTTTATGGCCATTTTATTTTATGGGTGAAAGTTAACCTGGTTCTGGAAAGAAAAATCCGGGTGAAAACATTTTCTTAGTTTTGAATAATAAATGTATAAGCCTTTTCTTTAACAGACTCTCTTTATATAATAGATATTTTTTTCACATTATACGCGAGTCCCTATTGAGCTACATCGATTGGTTTCTGAATTTTTAAAATCGGTTCAGCCGTTTTTGAAAAAAACATTATCAAATTTGGTCCAAAACGTTTGAGAAAGACATAAAATTAGCAAATTGGATTTTCTAGCAAAAACATAAAGTTCTCCTTTGGCAAGTTAAAAATTGATGGTGGATACTGAATATGATAAACCAATATAACATAATGTGCAATCATTCCAATAATATGATAAAATATGACCAAAAATCAGTATGATAAAACCTCAAAAATCTTATACCACTTTTCGTAGGCTTATAATATTTTAGGATAGTTTGACTAAAATTTAGAAAAATATCGGTTACTCACAATCAGTGCAGAGTTGTAAAAATCATATAAATCTGTTCAAAATAATAATTTATGTATTTTTTAAATGAAACATGCTTTTGTATAATTAGATGTAAGTGGCATTTTGCCTTAAGGCAAGTTGCATGAACTTAATAATACATAATTAATTATTTATATAATATTTTCTTATCTTATTTTCTTTTAAGTGAAAAGACCGCAAACTTATCTCGAGATACCCTTATAAAAATAAACAATTATTACCACTTACCTATTTTCAGTTTGCCTCTCGATAGTTATATCAGTCTCAACATCGTAACTCTGCGTATCTAAAATCAAAATTAACATTAAAAAATTGGAATAACCAAATTTTTACAAAAATGTTCTCCTCACCTGTATTTTCGGCGACGTTTCCTTCGGCTTGGTGCCGAGCCAGGGGCGGCAAACTAGGGCTCCTTGTCGGTCTATGATTCGGAATATTATTAGGGGATATATCGTAATATTTTGTTGTTTCTACTTCTGACCTATTGGCAGATACTACGCTGCTTAAATCGCTGGCCGAAGTGTAACGAGATCTAGAATAGTAAATGAAAATAACTAGGTGTAAGTGGCGTTTGGCCTTATTTTGTTTCATTTATACTTATTATCATTACCTGTTTGACAATCTTTCGGAGTTCCATACGGGCATATCCCAAGGCATTCCTAGACGAGCCAATTCCTCTAAAATAATAATAATAATTATATTCAATAGATAAATCCTGGATTTTTTCAATATATAATAGCATTACAGTGTGGTACAAAGCCTTGTGAAGTCAAAAACATTTACAAATATTCTCGAAAAAACGAGTGTTTTTAACAAAATATTAGTGATATGGATATATAAATTATTTCAGAATGATGGAACGTATCTAGTTCCGAAACGTCGTAATTAAACATCTTCAAAAACAAACTGTTTTTTATTATTGAATTTACTGATCGGAAAAGAAACAATCAATATAATAATTATATATTTATATATACTAGTTGACCCGGCAAATTTGAATACATTCATTCATTTTTAAAATAGGTATTGCGCAATTGGGGTTTGTGCTAAGAGGGTGAAAATTTAGGGTTTTACGTGTTTTTTTAAAATATAATAAATTGGTTCTAAATATTTAAAAAAAAATGAGGATTGCCAACTCTTACTACCAAGGGGTATGAAAACCTCAGTTATAAATGTGAATCTGAGTCGTACTGAAAGCTATTATAAAATTTTGACAAAATCGGTCAAGCCGTTCATGAGGAAAAATGATACTAGAATTTTGTATTATTATGTATATGAGGTGGTCCTTAATATGGAAATTTTTCGAATTTCTTGCTCCCAAGGGCTCAAATGGTTCCAAATTGATAAAAAACAATTATCTGAAAGTTTTTGCTCTTAATATTAACTTTTAGATAGTGCGCAATTCAATCAAACTTCATATGGAAATAGCATGAAAAATTTTGGAAATTGAAAAAAAAATTTTTAGGTATAACTTGGCGACAAATGAATTTAAAGTGAAAATTCGTGTCATTTTTCATTGAAAATTCGACGTCTGCAAAATTTTTGAATTTTTTTTTGTATTAATTTCATACAAAACTTTGATTAAATTGCGCTCAATCAAAAAGACAATATTAAGAGATAAAACTTTAAGAGAATTGTTTTTTCATCAATTTGGAACCATTTGAGCCCTCGGGAGCAAGGAAATTCGAAAATATCCATTTAAGGACCACCCTAATATATATATATATATATATATATATATATATATTTTATTTTAAATAATAAATTATTAAAAATGACTTTTACCTCTTTCTCGAGCCCATTGCATTTTTTTCTGTTCCACCAACGAACATGATGGTTTATTGTTGAACATCATATTGTTTAAACAATTCTTTTAATTTAAATCATCTTTGTTTAATAATATAGATCCAATGAGGACTAAGTTTGAAATTTTTTCATAAATAGCTAAATAAAATTCAAATTATATATTTATTCATTACAAATATATTCACTTCTGCAATATTAGGCAGTTTTCTTATTAACTGTAATAAAGATTAATAACTTTGATAAATGATTAAGTGAAATACAAACTGTATTTTTTTAATTGCAATTTTTAATCTTAATGATTTTTATCTTTTATCTTTAATTTTAAATATTTTTTATTAAAACTAATAACTGATTTAACTAACTAATAATTTTAATACAAAATCTAACTGAAATTCAACTTATATTTGATTTATACCAGATATTTAATTTTTTTTTTGTTTAAATATTTAATTTGTGCATAATATTTGGTGTATATGAATAAAATTTGCAAAAATATTAATAAAAAGTAAAAGCTGATTTACCAAACTGATAATTTCAACAAATATAAAATTAATATCTATAAATAATGCTGTATATATAGTTTTTACTTTTAAATTTAAAGAAGCATACGTTATTAAAATTACAATAAAAAATAATAACTGATTTCACAAACTACACTTTAATAACAAGTTTATTAAATTATAAATTATATTTAATTAGTAACAAATATTTAATTTTTAGTTCAAAATACTTTTAATTTTGATTTTTTTTTGTTAAAATATTAATGAAAAATAATTTTTGGTGAATTAACTAACTAATATTTTATTAAAATACAAATTATATTTTTTTTAATGCTAAATGTTTAATTTTTACGAATTACACATTTTTAATCAATTTTATTAGATTACAAAACAAATTATAACTGACTTAAAAAACTAATATTATTAACTTCATTAGATGATTTGATAAACTAATAATTTTAATAAAATAAACTTTTAACTAAATAATTAAAATGCAAAATATATTCAATTCGTGGCAAATATTTAAGTTTCATATTTGTATGTAAAATTATTATAAGTTTTAAAGATTTTTCTGTCTTAATTTTTTTCTTATTAATAATTAAGTTAAAAAGCCATTGTTAAAAAATACACAATTTTAATACAAAATGATTGCACCAAAAATATATTTTGTTCACAGATTCCTTTCGAACTTACAAATAAATCCCAATTAGCAATTCTAAAAAGATTATTAATATAACTAATAATTATACACAATGTTTTAATATCAATTTATTATTATTGTATGTAGAGTATTTTCTAATATATTTTTCCTTTTAGGAAAACCTGAACTGTGTATGATTTTTCCAATACAAAATGGAAAACTGAAAATGGTCTTCTTGTTTACCTTGCTGGTTGCCAAGACGAAATATATTTTCTTCATTAACGCGCAAAATCGAAACTTTCTAGGAAACAGGTAAATATTTATGGAGATTATATTTCAATTTAATTTGCACCGGTAATAATAGAAAAAAAGGCATTTACTTTTAATGTGCAACTTTAATTAGATCATGGTATTTAATTTGAAAGCTTACATACATTTTGGCATCAGATTATAAAAAATATATTTTTTTTAATATGTATACCTTATATATATATATATATATATATATATATATATGTAAAAATTTTCTACATTTTAAAGACAAATCCACGTGCAAACCCAATCATAAAAAATATCGATTTTTAAGTTTTCAAAGAAACTTGTTCACAGTGCATTATCATCCCGTATATATGCATATATATGCACATATATATATATATATATATATATATAATATAATTAAATAATATAAATTATATTTATTTTAATTATTTTTAATTAATAACTTTAACTAAAAATAATAATCACACTTTGTTCAATGCCTGAGTAAAGACACTTAAGTAAGTGTATTTAAATTTTGTTGTATGTTTTTTTTACCCTAGAATAATCTAAAATATGAATCTAAAATATGAATAGGCCCATAAATTGTTATTTTATTGTTAAAAAAATTAAATTAAATTAGAAGAAGAGATAATATATGTTTAGTAAAACATTTTATCTTAAAAAATAAAAATAATAACTGAAATAAGTATAGTAAGAATTTACTGAAGTCAAAATAATATAAATTTATACATATACAACTATGAATATTTTTAAATAATAACATTTTTAGGATAATTTCTTCAGCGAATTTTTATTAAATTTTTAGATCATTATTAATTTAAGTAAATATATACTTTAATTAATTTTAATTTTATTTTCTTTATTAACATTATATATTTATTTACAATTAACATTTGCTATTTTAATTATAAATGTATTTTAAACATAATAATTTATGAATATATATAAATTTTTATACATATTTTTCTTAAATTTCTCAAAAAAAATTATTATTTAATTATTTACTGGAATCAAATAATAAATATATCTATACATATGCAACTGCAAATAATTCCTTAAACTAATAATTATTAATTCTTTAATTAAT